GGAGACGGTTCAGAGGACAACTAAGTTGGGCCAGGGGCTGGAGAGGGTCCCAGGCCCGTTTCCCCCCCGTCCGAATGCCATCACTCTGCTAAACAACTAATTCCCACAACACTGTCAAATTATCTACTAAGACTGTATTGCTATCATTAGTCTCTTCCTTCCTAGTACCTATCTCTTCCCACTTATGACTATAACCCTATTGCTTGTATCTTTAAAATATATACTATTTTGTTTGTTTCCTAGTATGACTTGATAGCTTATTAGTAACCTTTGACGATCACTAAGTGTTTTATCTTATGATTCTTGATGAATGTATTCAATTTTATTTTTATTTATGTATACTGAAAACACGTGCACCAAGGAGAAATTCCTTGTGTATATTTGGTCACCCTTGGCCAATAAAGAATCCAATCCTATCCTATCCTATCCTATCCTATCCTATCCTTCATTCCTCTATTCTATTCTATTCTATTCTATTCTATTCTATTCTGTTCTGTTCTGTTTTGTTCTGTTTGGAAAGCTTATGACGTAAGGAGGCTTTCTGGTCCAGAAAGGGGGCAAAACTCGATCCTCATAATTCAATCTAAAGATTGGATTGCACCAATGCATTTCTGCATCAGAAAAAGGAAGAAAAATGGACTTGATGCATAGGGCATTTTTAAGCTTGCAAGAACATTTTCTGTTAAATATTTATAGAGGTGATGTTTCAGTGACTTTTGGCCTTTAAACACCAGTTGGAAGAGGACTGTCAAACCCTACTTGGGAATCTCGTGACAAAAAGGGGGAGAAAATTTGTTTTGATACAAATAAAAATAATAAATTGCAATTGCATTGGGTAAATATTTGATTCAGTGATTCAGTATTATAAGAGTGCATGAAGAATGGCTGCAGGAATTGAGTGTGCCTAGTTTAATGAAAAGAAGGATTAGGGGTGACATGATAGCAGTCTTCCAATATCGGAGGGGCTGCTACAGAGAAGAGGGAAGAGTCCACCTATTCTCCAAAGCACCTGAAGGCAGGAGAAGAGGCAATGGATGGAAACTAAGCAAGGCGAGAAGCAACCTAGAACCAAGGAGAAATTTCCTGACAGTAGGAACAATTAGTCAATGGAACGGCTTGCCTCCAGAAGCTGTGGGTGCTCCATCACTGGAGGATTTTAAGGGATTTCAGAAGAGATTTGTCTGAAAGAGCAACAGCTATTCAGACTTATATACCGCTTCATAGTACTTTTACAGCCCTCTCTAAGCAGTTGACAGAGTCAGTCTAAATGCCCACAACAATCTGGCTCCTCATTTTACCCACCTCGGAAGGCTGAGTCAACCTTGAGCCTGGTGAGATTTGAACTGCTGAACTGCAGCTAGCGGTCAGCTGAAGTAGCCTGCAGTACTGCGTCCCCTTGTGCAGGGGGTTGGACTAGAAGACCTCCAAGGTCCCTTCCAGCCCTATGGCTTCATGTAACTTTCCTCAGTGGAAACTCACTTCCCTTAACCAGCTTTCCGTGCAAATTTTGCTGCCTTTGTCCCCTTACCGTTGAAACAAAAATCCCGCAGCTTTTGCAACACAACGTTGGGCTCATTCAGGATCTCTTCAAACTCTGCGATTCTACAGGAAACACAAACCCAGACGAAGCTGTTAGCACACCCTTCACACTGAAGAAACCACAAAATATTCTCTCTCTCTCGCCTAAAAAGCCGCCTGGAACCTGCAGACTGGAAAATAGGAGGCACAGAACTTTGTTGGGGTTTTAGCTAAGTGCATATTAACGTTTCTTTCGGGCCCCATTCAGGGGTGGGATAAAGCCCAAAATATGAGTGTGCAACATCATTTGTATCCCCTACCCCACCCCCACAAGGCCACGTGGAAAATAACTGAAAAAAACCCACAGTATTCCGATAAGGGCCTTTATCTGAGCTTAAACCACGTTTGAGTGCAAAAAAACACCGCCTGAATTATTATCAGCAACAGCTGCAACAGTCCCAATGTCTCCCCGGATCTATACAGGTAGTCCTCGACTTACGGCCTCAATTGAGCCCAAAATTCATGTTGCTAGGTAAGACATTTGTGAAATGAGTTCTTGCCCCCTTCCTTGCCCGCTGTTCAGTGCATCTTTGCAGTCGTTAAGCGAATCTCACTCCCCCATTGCCTTTGCTTTCTCAGAAGATCTCAGGATTTTGAGACGCAGCAATGGACTTAAACACAAACCAGTTGCAATCATCTGAATTTTGATCACCGGAACATGGGGATGCCGCAAAGGGCGTAATTGTGAAAAATGGTCGTCGCTTATCACTAAATAAACTTGTTGCAAATCGAGGACTGCTTGTATTTCTCAACTAGGTTCCCCCCCCATCCACAGGTATGTGTTGGGACAACAGATCTGACTAGCACCTGGTTAGAAGAAAAGGTATCCTTGATGTTTTAAAACCCTTAAATGGACGCAGGAAGAATAGCTGAACAAAAATAGCCGCTTCCCCCTGCCTCAAATCAGAAACGATCATCTTCTGGCTCTTTAGTCCTGTTAAAACTTCGGCCAAATACAAATTTTACTTTTGAAAAGAAATGCAAGAGCATCTTTGTGCTAAAAACACAGCTTTCCTCAGTAGAAATCGATAGGCTTTTCTTTAGGGGAACAAAATGGATTTTGTTCCGTGAATTGGAACCGGTTCTTATTCGTTAATTTTTTATTCGTTCCTTGAATAAAAATCCATATATAAAAGCCTCTTTGATTCCCCTTCAAGAGGGGGAAATCCACCACCAGTTAACTTCCCCTGCCAGGAGCCAGAAACAGGGAAATTTGGAAAGGAAATAATCTGGGTTTTGCTTTTCTCTTTCTGTGCCTTTTTTGAAACAATCAGCAAACTATTGTCTGTGTTTTCGGGGAAGGAAAATGGGGAAAGCAGGCAAAGGGCCTTCCGGGAAGGTTAAAAACCTTCCTTTTTTTTCTTTGATTCATTGTTGCTTCTAGTTGGGCCAAATGAAACAGGAAAAAAGGGGGAAAAAACAAATAAAAAAAGAAGGGGATAAAGAAACAAAAGGGGTTGGTGGTCGGAGCTGCTTGTCAACAGCATACACACAAACACACAAACACACAAACACACACACACACAAGGGATTGTCTTCCCAGCGTCGCGCCCGCTTGCTCCACCGTCGCCCTGGGGCCAAGGAAAAAGGCGATCCGCTAGAGAAGCAGGGAAGCCGCCTAGGGAAGGAGGCGAGTTGGCCAGGGGGTCGTCTGCATCCCACCCCAAAGGCGTGCATCCCCCCACCCGGGACGGAAGCCCCCCTTCCCTTCCCTCCTGCCCCTCCCCAAATGGGAATGGGGGGCGATGCAAAACCCGGGGATTTTCTGCAAGGCTCCCGCGGGGAAAGGTGTGCCGGGGTCCCCCTTTGGCATCCTTACCTGCTCCGGTGCAGGCGCGACATGATGCGGGGACTGGCCCGGACCCTCCCACCGCTTCTCCCGGGCGCTCCGGCGCGCCGCCGGGAGGACTAAATGGCGGAGGCGGAGGAAGAGGAGGAGGAGGAGGAGTCCCGCTGCCCGCCGGCCCGGCTTGCGGCTCGCCCTGCCTCCCTCCTCCCCTTCCCCGCCGGGTGGGACTCCAGAGCCCATGAGCCACCGCTGAGCAGCCTACAGTCCACAATCAGCAGTCCCAGCTGTTTTGGTGGGTGGGAGCCTTGGTTCCGTGGCCCATGCTCCACAGCTGTCTTGGGGGGGAACTTGGACTCTGTTGCCTATTGCTCCAAGCCAGCACAGGCTCCCCCACCCCCGCCAGGACTCCGAGGCCTATGCTCCACATCTGGCAAAGTTCCTGCTGTCTTGGCAGAGCTCGGACTTCATTGCCTGTGCTCCACAGCCAGCATCCTTTCTGGTGGGCAGGGCTCCAGGATTCCACTCCAGAACGTGGACTACAATTCCCATCCTCTCCGCTGGACTCCCCCCCCCCCATCCATGAGCCAAAATGCACATACCCAAATGCTTTCATTTCAGCTGTTTGTGATCTTAGCTGGATCCCTGTGGTAGGAGATCCTAACTATGATTCTCAAGCCATCATTGTTGGATTTAAACCCTACATTGAGTCAGTGTTTCTCAACCTTGGCCACTTGAAGATGTCCGGACTTCAACTCCCAGAATTCCCCAGCCAGCGAATGCTGGCTGGGGAATTCTG